TTTGGTACTGGTATCGGATAAAACCTAAACGATACCCATCCCTAGAGCTACACATAAACTGTTAAAGTCTCCAGTATATAAACATGTGTCATCTGCGTATAGTTGCACTTCTCTTCTTGTTCCTACCATCCAGTCGCTTCCCTCTGCTGTTCTGTTTATTTCTGCTGTAAAGTTGACATTTTAACATCTCACTTCTGGAGCCAGGCTCACTTGGACATTTGAAGAATTGCAGTTTTCACACTTGGCCACTTGATTTTAAATGAGCTTAGTTGGTGATTATCATCTCTATCTTTTGCCTCATATTTCGTCTTCGTTCTGAATGCCTGGAAGATTTTTTTGACTTTGTTTCATTGAACCAGAAAACGTATACCAAAGAGTTCATCGATAGTTTGTGCACGACTATGATGAGGTATGACAGTCTGTCTGTCACTGTAAAAGCTCGCCAACGCAATTTATCAAGCATGATCTGCCCATGTCGGTGCAGACACTGTGTCTTTGACCTCCGTGGCGGTCTTTGATTGACCTCTGTCATCGCAGCTTTGGATGTCGCGTGGTCGTAGCCGCAGCTGTCGTCACGGGCCAGATTTCCAGGATCACCGATAATCTGTCTGCGTGTGTGACAAAGACCTCTCAACCCGACTGTTTCCTTTTCAGGTATTTACACCGGTCACCCGCCCCTTGTCAAACAAACTGTGACAGATATGGTGGCGTCATCGGCGAACAATATCATATTTACTCTGCAAGCCTGACATGATCCAGATCAGACTGGTTTAAACTGTTTGAGGAAGAGGAGGAGGGAGTCCGGGCGAAGAAACAAGGACAGTAGATGGGGAGTTACTCGCTGTCAGACCCTGTTAGGAGTGAGGCGGCCGTACTGTACCACGGTAACTCCCAGTGGAGAGTACAGTGCAGAGAGGCGCTGGGTCCCGGTTATCCAAGTTGGTGAGATATTATGACGGTCTGAGCAATTAAACCAACACGCAGCAAATGAAATCAAGCAAGCTATTAATAGCACCTGGCATTGGAGTGGAAACTCCCTCTGAACACACACATCATCCTGTGTTTACTTTCATACATGCAGTCCCCTGCGAGGCTTTTCACAAACACACAACAGTGCAGGGAAACTGCACACTCTTCATTGAGAGAATGGGAAGGAGGAGGAGGAGGAGGAAGGCCTGGCTGGTGCAGCGGCGGAGCGTCCACACGGCCACGAGGCAACAAAACGTCCATTACAAATCAAAACATTTGGTTCATTCATTTCAGGATGTTTTCTTCGCTCCCTCCTCCTCCTCCTCTGTGTACGGGGCTCACACACTGACCTACATTGGCTGTGATGAAATCACGGTGTGTGTGTGTGTGTGTGTGTGTGTGTGTGTGTGTGTGTGTGTGTGTGTGTGTGTGTGGTTGGCGATGCCACGTTGAGGACGTGAGTGTTTGTTTATACTCCTGCCTTTAACATTTGCACGCCTGCATGCACACGTGTGCTATTTATGACATGTGAAGCACAAGAAGAGTTTCATATTTTTGGAGCTTTTTGTTACTGAGAAGATTTTTAGACCCAAACAAAACCGTAATAAGACAAACTGTTCCTAAACTCAATTCATACATTTATTTCCTGGAAAGGTACCAGGAAATTTAAAAAAAAGGAAAAAATGAAAGTGAAATCACGTCTTTGCCTCCTTCAGCTTTAATATGCACAGTGAACCCATGTTTTCTTGTATTTGGATGTTTTTAAAACGTCTGGACTGAAGCATCATTTCTAAAACGAGACCTTCCCACACCGTCACAGCCGGTGGGCCGATGTCTGTGTGCACAGTAAGAAGGTTGTGGGTTTGAGTCCACTGTCAGCTGCCTCTTTCTATGTGGAGTCTGCATGTTGTCCTCATGCCTGTGTGGGTTATGTCAGGTTACCTGGTGATTCTAAAATGGTTAGGAGTCAGTGTGAGTGACAGTCCTTCTCTTTGTTGGCCCCGCCCCTCACGCCGTGACAATCTCCAGTCTCGCATAATTTTGTTGAGTAAATTTATTTCTGAAAAAAAAAAAAAAAAAATTATTTCTGAACAAAAGACTTTATATAAAGGTGAAAGAAAAAATGCCACGACACGAATGTAAGACTGAAACCTACACAGGAACAGTCTATGAGGTCTCAGTCACCAGGACTTTGGTGAAAAACTCAGAGAGACACCAGAAGTACGCTGAGGATGACCTGGAGAAAGGTCCTGCAGACTGGAAGCATCCTTCAGTCAGATGAGACTCAACCAGAAGTTTGTGGCCACAGAGATGCTGCTAATGTCTGGAGAAAGAACGGAGAGAACAGCGTCCCCACAGTGAAGCACGGTGGTGGGAGCATTATGCTGTGGAGATACTTTAGTGAGTTGTAACGGCGTTTTGCGAGGAAGGAGCAGCTAGCAGGTCCAGCGGGCATGTGGGGTGGAGGTTAGCCGGACAACTCTGAGGCCAGTCAGTTAGAACCGCAGAACAAGACCGTACAAGCCAGGTCTCCACGCCTCTGCGCTATCCGTACATACATGTGTGGGGGTCAGGTCCAGCCTGTTGCAATGGTACGGTCTCTCTAAACAGACGGACGGAGGAAGCTTGCTCGACTGTATGGGCTGCTCCTACACTCACACTAGGGCTACGTTCACTCTGCAGGTCTTAATGCTCAATTCCAATTTTTTGATCAAATCCAATTGTTTTGTCTGCTCGTTCACACTACAAATAAAATGCGACAGCAAACACGCTCTAGTGTGAACGCTCAAAGCGGCGCAAAAGAAGACGTCACACACAACGCGCTCTGTTTAGACCCAGAACAACAGTGTTGTTTGACTGATGGCCCTTAATATAAAGACTTCGGACTTTATGTTTCACAATTTTTGCTTTAAGTTATTTTGTTATTTACATAATGATGTAAATAACCTAATAATGATCCTTATTGCTGTTTGAGAGGAGCGCTGCTTCAAAGGATAGCTGCAGATTTCTGTCAGAATCTGCAGATTATGCAGTACAAATAAAATGTTCACGTTTCTCCAACGTTGTCTGCCCAACAGTCTCACTAACATCTACACTGGATGGCCAGGAAGCGTTCACGATGTCTTCTCCGGCGCTGATAATTGGCGTCTGTCTTGTGTCAGTAACGTAAAAGACGGATTTAATGCGACATGACCATGTGCTTTCGCCTGCAGTGTGAACGTAGCCTAGGAGACTCTCCAATGACTACAATAATTGGACGACACCCCCTAGCGGTGCCACAATAAGGGTTGTTACACTGTGTGGAGCTGGGAATCTCACTGAGGGGGAAGGATCATGGAGGAAGGAGAACATGTGAAGATTCAGCAGCAAAACTGGGTCTGAGTCATCTTCCGACCTAAATCATAAACTTCTGTAAACTTGACTGTTTCTATCGAAAACATGATGGATGTTTGCAGAAGGAAAACAATTAAAACATTTCTCGGACGCCATTTATTCTGGACTCGTGGTTGTTAGAGCGCCTCCTACAAAACCAGAACAGAGCTGGAGTTTTTCAGCATGTAGAAGTTGTTCAGCAGGACTTTTGTGTCCTGTTTGAGGTGATGAGCCGATCAGCTCTCGTGACTCTTCAGAGTAAATCTGCTGTTATCCTCCAAGTCTCCTCCTTTGCTTCCTCTTATGTAATCTGCTCTCCTTTGTGCTTTGTTACCCACCGTGCACGTGTTCGATGATTTGCAGACTTTTCTGTTGCCGCCGCTGACTCTGGACCAGTTCGAGGTGTCCCTCGCAGGCCACCGTATAGCCCACTTCACACCTAAAGTAGATTAATGGGTCAGTTTGGCGAAGTTCATCCAGGGTTCAAGTAAAGGTTCAGCTAGAGTTCAGCCAAGCGGAGAGGGAGGAGGGAGAGTCTGTGCCGCTCTGCTGGAAACCGCTGCAGACTGAAGAGATGGAAATATGGAAATAGAATAACAGGACCAAGAGACGCAAACACAGAACATTAGGTTCATTATTTGTGCAGAAAATCATGATCGTACATGTATGAAGAGCAAAGTGTCTTTAAATCAGTGTTAAAGGTCAAAAGGGGACGAAACATGCAGGTGTCGGTCCTGATGACCTTCAGCTTTTATCAATGAAGACTCAAAACTCAGATAAACGTCGCAGTTTTTCTGTTGCAATGCAGACGTAACGTGCAGCTTATGGTCGTGGTAAATTATGCATGACAGTGTGAGCATTTGTTCCTGCCTGAACCCAGGATCGGGAGGGGGCGGGTACAGTATTTGACTTATTCATGAGGCTATAGCTGCAGCTCGGCGCCACTTTACTACCACGACCTCCCAGCTTAGGCTTAAGCTGCAGGTTTAAACTGCAGTTGTGAGGTCAGGGTCACGGGAGGTCACAGAGAGACGACCATGTGTGGACGCCACAGAGGATTTCACCTCTAGAAGAAACTGATCAGTGTTCATCTCTCTTCTCTTCTTCTTTTCTATTGTTCGTGTTTCTGCCAGGATGGAATAAAGTTTAGGCACTTCACCCGTTGTCTACTGGTGGTGGTCAGAGGGCCCGGTGGCGCCAGTGTCCGGCAGCCTCGCCTCTGTCAGTGCCAGGACCTGCAATGTAGCTGCCATCACCAGTGTGTGAATGGCTGAATGTAGTGTAAAGCACTTTGGGGTCCTTAGGGACTAAATAAAGCGCTATACAAATGCAAATACAGGCACGACAAGACTAAGCCAGACATGTCTGAGAGCGAGAGCTGCTGTCAGCCAAGAAAATGCTGGCAGTGTGGCAGTCCACGAAGGTATAGATGTGACGATCCTATGTGATTTTCAGAAAAGCTGACCTCTGAAACAGCTTCATCGCCTCACGTCAAAGAAGGAGACGAGAAAAAAAAGACAACATACAACAGCTGAGAGAGCCACAGAAAACATGTGGACTCTGTGGAGTGTTTATATGGAGCTAAATCAGGGTCAAGTTTTTTATCCATTTTAAAAATGAAACTAAAATTACAAGTTTCGATATGTAAAATTTAAAAACAAAAACATTGTGAAAACATTGTTGGACAAAAAACAATAAAAGGTTGGGGACCGCTTGTTTATACTGTATAGCAGAGGCCAACGTGCTACGTTAACGTATCAGTAACCAATGAGTTACTAGCAGTGGCATCCGTCTTTTATATACAGTCTATGGTGTAGAAACCAGTGATGCGTCTTTGAGAACGCCTAATGAATGCCTCCTCCCACCATAACCAGCAGCATCACTGCTGTGATGGAATGTAACTTATTACATGTACTCAAGTACTGAAGCACAGTTTTAATATATTTGTGATTTGATTGTTGTTGTACTGCTCTCTGATGTGAATACTGTACCTTGTACTTCCTTATTTTAAACACAGCTGAAGTGACACATTTGTTCA